CCCGCCTTTACCCTATTTCGCCAAGAGTTTATGGTTCCCGCGTCGCGTAACGTAAAGGGTCTCGGCAAACTTTTAGACCGCCGATTGTCCCCCGAATAATATCGTTTCCTTCCCCCGTTTCATCGCTCGATTCCCGCGATTAAAGGATCGTAATTTCAATGCGATTAGGACGTTTGCTTATGTTTCGGTGTAACGTGTCAGGCGAGTGACAGCTTGCTCAGGGTAACGACACCTCTCGCCCTAACCCCAGCCCCGTTTCTATCGCCGGATTCCCCCCCGGGAATTTTCGTGGGTGTCGCGTCATGACCCGTGGCAGGACGTGATTGAGTTTGCAGCGACATCGCCCCGGGGGCGACGGCGGTTTCGGGACGAGGACCGAAGGGGTGAGCGGCCGCGAGTAATGAGAAAGAGTCAATCGCCCCGACGTTGTCCAGGAGAGAAATTCAGCCTGCGATGCATTAGCGGTACATCGTCCCGGGGGAATTCCCCGGAGCATCTGGTTGCCCCGAGGCTCGCGTTTATCTCCTTCCCCGCCGCCCCCTCGAGAAACGAGACTGGAATTGTTTCCGACTACGATCCTTCGATTAATCGTCGTAAAACACGCGCGCGACACCGCTCCCTCCTCTATCTCAGCATCGACGTGCCACGAAACAATAATCGTATCTCCGGCGTCCACGTATTGCCGCACGCAATTTTATATTTATCGTTTGCCGCGTCAACTTTTGACGCTGGCGGAGATAACTGCAGATTGCGTGCGATTCGTACGTTAATACGTACGAATCGCACGAAACATAAGCAAACGTACGGTAATCCGAATCATGTTACACAATACGGAATTATGTAATGTATGCATCAGATACTAAAAATAAAGTGTACTTAAAAATTGAAATCGTCATGTACTAAGCGAAGAAAAGAGGCGTTTCAATAGTGATACAATAAATAATAATTGTGCGACGTCGTCGAACTTGAAAATTCGACAATCACCGATCGCGTGATAGAAATCGATCAGCGGTGCCTGCTGCGACGTTATCTTCGACGCCGGGAAAATAAATCGCGATTCAGATATCGACCGTCCTCTTAGGCAGCGGAAGCTGATAATTGCAATGCACTTTGACCTTACCTGCCGGTCTTGGTGATGATCATCTCCGTGCCGAGCTCGTTGAATTTGTCCCAGAGATCCTTGGTCTCGAGGTGGCACACCACGTGCTTGAGCTCCTCGCAATTGGAGCGCTCCTGGAGCAGAGGGTTCACCACCGGCGAGACGCCCTTTCCACTGGTGCTTCCGGTGTCGTCCGTTTCCGGCTCGTCCTCCGGATTGTTCGCCTCCGAAACCGGCGGCGCGCCGCGAGCGACCCCAGAACCGCTGGCTTCCCTCTCTGCAAACCATGTTTTCGCAATGTTCGGTACTGGCATTATCGTGCGCGACATAAAATAATGTAATATACGTCCATAAGCTCTATAATGTAACGCCATATAATGCTGAATTATCCTCTCCAGTAACGTACTCGTCGCCGCCGTCATTACCAAGAATTATTATCCGCCTCGCGCAGCCGCGGTTTTTATTCGCCATCAGCGCGCCGTACGCGGGCACACAACCGGAAACGACCGCGAGAGGGAAACCGCTTCCGGCACGATCCGATATAAAAATCGTGGATCGCTCAAGCGTAGTAAAACCTAACTGCGTGCGGAGGCAGCCGTGCTTAAGGACCGGGCATTTATCACCGCCGTGTCATTGACGCTCGTTTTTACCCGTTCAGCCGTAGTCGGCTAAAATAGCGACGGCGAACGGGAGTTAACGTGAATGGAACCGCGCTCGATGAATATTTAAGAGCCGTTCAATTACAGTTATATCTCGCCGTTCGTTCCCCGTTTCGCGACGATGTTCTTGCGAGCCGCGCGGCACTTTCGTCGCTTCGCGCGGCGAACGAGATTAAAAACGAGGGCCCGTTCGACGATTCGTAATTTACGGGAGGCCGCCCATTACCGCAAATCGTCATTAATTTTGCCCGAAGGAGCCAGCGCGCGCGCGCGCACATTCCGATAACTCGATTCTAAATTACGTACGTACAGGCCCTGGCACCGATTAATATCTATCTCCGCGCGCTTTTATATGCCCCGCGCCGCATCCCACTTGCGCCCGAACCTGCGCAGTTTTCGACCCCTCTCGCAGAGGAAATTCTCGCGTTTACGTATGCGTGGACGTTAATGAAAAATCGCTCTCGGGACGCGCGATTTATCGCTCATTCGACAACTCTATTAGCGGAATAATGAAGAAAGGGAGTGTCCCCGATTAAGATTTTAATCGGAAATTAAATGAACGCCGAGACGCTGAAAATGGTGGACGGCGGGTCGAAACGGTGTCGCTCGGTCGTTTCGGATCGCGAGAAGGTTCGCGGTGCACAATGCAAAATTGCACGAAACGGTTTAAGTGAAAAACAACAATGACACAAATGTTTTTTTATCTGCTTCAATTAATCCAGTTTTAATTCCTGTTTTCACTGGGTAAATATATATCGAGATATCGTCGGGCGATTTTTATTGCGTGGCGCGGAAATGAGATCGTATCGCGGCCGTGCCGAAGCACTTGGAAGATACGGCGCGGGAGGTGTGAGAATTTCTGAGAAAATCACGTTGATTAATGCCGCAAATTAACGCGGAGACGCCGCGTCAGGGTGCTTTATCGCGGCGCTTTCTTTTGCATAGATCGCGCTAGTCCGATGCGTTTACGCGCGCAAACGTCCCCCGTTCGCGCGCGCGGCCGATTCGGCGTAGCGTCGCGCGCAGTCCCGCGCCGTTCAATCACACCGGCGTAAATCTAAGCGTAATCCATTTGGCGGTGGTTATAGGTATCCAGCTATCGATGATAATATATCGTCGGCCGCGCGATAAGCGGGCTCCTTCGACGGTTCGGCATCGCGATCGATTATAAATAACGCCGCGAGCGTTCCGCGCGGGGGAAAAGCCAGCTTTACAATTACATTACGCAGATTGTTTCCGATTTTAATGACGCAAGGGAAAAATAATCGGCTGATAAAGCGACGTATTGCCGCCGACGGTGATTAATCGTTGCGCCACGACGCACGGGCGACAGGAAGTCGAGCTCTCTTTTCAAGATACACGCGAATTTCTACAGGATGTGATTGTACGACGCGGGACTTGCGCGCCCGGCGCGTGCGACTCGCCGGCGCGAAAGGTTAATTTTATCTTAACGACGTTCGGCCGCGCCGTCGAGACAAACGCAATTGCAGACGGACGAAATTTCCATTAAACAGAAGGGCAATTAAGATTGAGATACGCTAAATTGATTTCGTCCGCACAACGGAGTCAAGTAAAACTCTTACGACGCACAAACCGCCCGTGGTTTGCGCAACGTAAGTCGCGCCGATGAAGACGTTTCCCGACGCGACTTTTCAATAAAAGTCCCGGACAATTTTTCGCGGCTCCGCGATAAGGGTCTCCTCTGCGCGCGCGCGCAGTTGAGATCAGAGTTATTTATACCTAACGGGAGTGCCAGACCAGCATCTGCCATTTTAACAGGTCCCTTCTCCGCGTAATTCGCGGACACGTATTTACCACGTGCGCCTTCGCGCGAGCGCGTTTCCATAAGAGCCCGTCGTTGTACTCGGGGAAACCGTAATAAACTTCGTAATGGGCAGTTACGAAGTACCGACCTGGCTGGTATGTCAGGTGCCGGCTATCAATTTTGCACGTTGATGCCGCGCGCGCGAGGAATTAATTGTCCATTCGGCATAAGGCGAAATCCGGCGACGGTGTTATGGCCGCGCGCCGGCTTTTCCGGTTTTCTCTCCGCGAAAATCCGCCGTCGACCGCCGCGCACAGCCGCCCCGCGTACACCTCGTGCACGTTTCTCCTTCCTTGTCGGAAAAAAAGAGCGCGTAAAAATAAAAGGGAACCAAATTTCTACCCGGCCGACACGAGGACGATTGTGAGCCAAAAGCAGGAGACGGAAACACCGGGCGAAATAAATGTGCGTAAGTTATTGTAACTGGCTGTCGAGTGTAATTGAATTTGTTAAATATAATGAAAGCGACTGAGGGAACACCCCAATATCTCACGGTTAACAGCACAGCGGTTCTTTTCAATGTTATTTCGATCTTCGAATTGTATTTTATTACGCGCGCGCGCTGTTAAGATAAATATCCGCGTCGCGATTTTTAGATCTCCCGTTCGGTAAACGCTCACTGACATACACAAACGAGGAAGTAACGCGGCGGTAAATAAAGTCTCTCGGTTTACCTTAAGTTACCGCAGGTTATAATTTCACGTACCGCCGCTTTCCTGCCCGGCATCACGCTAATAACGCTAAACTAAAGCAAGCCCCATCGTAAGTGGATAATTATCCTTTTTCCAGGCGCTACCGCGCGCTCATTACGTCGCTCGCCGGCCGTGTACGAGCGTCGTGCCGTAATCGAGGGCATTAGTCATATTGTGTTTAATAACGCCTAAATCACGGCGGGGCCGGAGGAATGATCCTCCGAAGTTCGGCGATGTTATTGCTCAGCCGCAAGGATGATTGACGGTAATACGCGCCGCGAATTATCGTCCAGTTCGATATGTAAATTACCCTCTCACGTCCTCCGTTACTTCGCCCCGTGTTTACACCGCACGCGTTTTGCGGTAAACGCCACTCGATTCCCTTACGACTACTCTTGTGCGCGCGCGCGCGCGCGCGAGAGAGAGAGAGAGAGAGAGAGAGAGAGAGAGAGAATATACAGTTGAAAAATTTGTGTTAAATTTAACATATCGCACACTGAAAAAATTTTCTGGTTGAATATGGACGAATCGGATAATTCCTTTAGGATTTACCAGAATTCCTTTAGGATTTACCAGAATTCCTGTAATCCTACAGAAATTCTGGCAAATCCTAAAGGAATTCTGGTAAATCCTAAAGGAATTATCTGATTCGTCCATATTCAACCAGAAGTTTTTTTCAGTGCATGTCCCAAACGGTCCACACAAATTTTTGTGTTAATCGAACATAATATGGATATGTTAAATGATCACACTAATACTCTGTTAATATTGTAACACAAAATAAATGCAAATCTCGAAATAAAATATTAACATATTTTTAATGACAAAGTAACAAAATTTTTAAAAATGTAATTTTTACAGATGTAATAAGTGAAATGACGGTTCGAAATCACTCTCACTTATGTTGTATAGAATAAAATCAACATTTTATTCTGTAGATTTTAACGGACAAATCTTGTTACTAATAATATAGAACCTATGTATTGTGTAAGATTAAAAAATAAGTACACACTGTGTTGTTTTAACACGTAATTTCTTTTCGAGTATTTTAATAATTTCACATTCGAAGTCAATTAACACAAGAGCAATATGTTAAATTAACACATGAATGTGTTGAACATTTAACACAAAAATTTTAACCGGCATTTTCTTCAACGAGAAAACACAACTTTTCCAACTGTGTAGAATAGAATAGAACAGAATCTTTATTAAAATGCTCTGGGACAAGTCCCCTAAATTTTAGTCAGCTACACGTAAAAAATACTTACGGATGAGAAAGAACTTTTGTACAGTGTGTAATTTGAAAATAGTTAGAGAGAGAGAGGGGGGGGAGGAAAGAAAATTCAGCCTTATAAAGAAATAAACTGTAAAATCGAATGAATACGCTCTGCACTATTGCGTAAGGGCAAGTTTTCCCAGTTGACATCGTAAGTTATCAGGCTCTCTCTGTAAATTATAACGCATAATGATCGCAATCTCCATTCTGCTTTACATATTTCGTCTCGCGTCCCGGCCAATCCTTCTGTGCCTTCTCACCGTAACTTAAATGAAATATATTTTATACATTTTATGGAGTATCGAAAGTTCGCGTTACGATTGATATCGTGCACGGCGCATAAATTATGCAAATTACCCCGCGATTACATCTCCAATTCGCTTCACATGGTTGTACCGCGCGTTTATATTTCTTGCCTCTCTATGTGCATCTTTATAACACGCGTGATAAATTATAGAAAATACGTGTACCGAGCTTATATCTTCACCAGCGTGGACGTATTTATTCAACCGTGCAATATGGAAAGTGCCGATCCCCGGTTGTTAGACGCCGATACGGCATTAATTCGCGCCTCGATGTGTAATTCAGAATTTTTTTTAATGATCCGCAAAAGTCACCCGTGAAAGGTGAACTTTAATTCCTCCTAATACAGTTGCAAAGTCTTTGATTAGTTATTTTTTTTAATCTGAACGCATTTTTCGAAAACTGTTTATCGCGCATTTCCGGAGGAGCGTAATATGTTTAAACTTTCTAATATAACACTGGAAAATAAATATCTCGATCGTGGATTAGCTTCGAGGTAAAATTCTGAAGGAGAATCTCTTGTCGCACAGAAAACTACTTGCATTTGTATTTCATGTGTCGTACGTCGTGTTTCTATTTTATTTTGTTAGTATCTTAACAACGTCTTTATCTCTTCTTATGGCGAAGGCTCTTCCCGACTTTCCAATATCTTTTGCATTTTGAAAGAGTGTCCCGTTTAGGCAAACGGACCGTTTCGGCAAAGGTTAAAGGCAATTTGATCCGATAAAACCGGGCGACTTGTTTGCGCAATGGTAAACTCTCTACGGCGGCCGCTACACATCGCGGAATATTAGGTACGAATTACCACTTGCAATAACAGTAATCTTCATTCGTCGGTCGGCTTTTAGCCGTAAAACGCCGCGGAGAGTCCCTTGCGGTCGCCGGGCTCTGTATTTACGTTGCGCTCCGAGCTTTCGCGGCTGCGAACCTTTCAATATAGGAAGGATCCTCGTCGGCGGGGATTATCCGCACGCAACTCGTCGTTTCCACCGCAAGAGAAGCCGATAACCACAAAGCAATAATTAATTACCGTCGGCACCGATACG